GACCCTTTCACCGGGGTCGCCTAAGACCATCCTGCATATCAGATATTTACATTACGATTCATAACAGTAGCAACATTACAGTATGAAGTAGCAACGAAAATAATTTTATGGTTGGGTCACAACATGAGGAACTGTATTTAAAGGGCCAGAAGGTTGAGAACCACTGCCCTAGTGGAAGTTGAAAAAGGAAAAAAAAAAGTCAGAGAGAGAAGCCCATTTAAAAATATATATATAACTTCAGTAAATAAAAACATTCCCACCTTATCCATGAGGAAACTGAGGCTCAGAGAAGTGCTCTGTCCAAGCGGACTCAGCCAATGGAGGCACAGCCAGAATTATTTTTGTTGCTCAATACTGCCTCCCCTGGCGCTCTGGAAACCCGAGCCCTCTCTTGAGAACCATTAATTTCTTTAGCTTCAGTGTGATTTGAGTTACTGCTGTCAGTCATCTTTGTGTGTGACTCTTATTTCCAAATGAGAAAAGTCATCAAAGATATCATCTATTTCAGTCTGCAAGAGATGAATCAAAGAAAATAAAAAAGAACCTCTTTTCCTCTTTTTATTTTTCCTAGCAATAATCGCGCCTCAGATAAACCTCAATGGTTACGATACTGCCACCGTGCAAAGCTTATTTTTCCTCTTTATTATTTCTCACTGCTGCTTTCCTGAACTGCTCCAGGAACCCTGGAAAGGTCACAGGTTTCAAGAGGAACATGGGTTAAGAGTATTGGAGTTGGGCAGATCTGGGTGTTGAAATCCTACCTATGACCCCCCCTTCACTAGGGGTGACCTTGCCTCTTAGTGCCTCAGTAAGGTCAGAACAATCCAGCACCTACCCCAGGGTGCCACTGTGAGGATGAAACGAAACACGTGTGCCTGGCAGGCAGGAAGGACTCAGTAAAGTACATGTGTGTTCTGTGGTCCCAGGGCTATAATCCTGGCAAATGTTTTTCTAAATGTCCAGCCTGATACAAAGAGAGCACCACAAATGGGAACGCCACATATTCATTCATTCCACCAATATTCACTGAGGACCTACCGGGCTCCAGATGTTGTTCGGGGTGCTTGGGATGCATCAGTCAACACAACAAATATGCTTGCCTTTGGGGAATTCAACACTTATGTCCCCCTGAGTGTGGGGCGGCACAGTAACTTTAAAGATAACACACATGCGCTTTTTGCAAACTCTGGTCAACTGTAAGCTACTACAGTTGTCTAATCCCTGTTATCAGAGGGGGCGGAGTGAGGAAAAGATCCCATGAGAAACGACTATCAAAGTCATGAGCCTAACTGCGGTACAGCACGTGGGCGAGGGGTTCAGCATGTGGGTTAGTTGATGTTTAAGGGATCTTTGCCACCTCAGTAGAGCTCAACCTGGTGACGGTGGTCTCAGAGTATGACAGGGGGGCGGAAGTCAGCCGGAGGTGCCATGTGCTCAGGAAGAGGATTCTTCCAGGCTAATGGAATTTATACCATCAGCAACTGCATGAGCTCGCCTCTGGGAGAGAGAAAGGGAAAGAGGGTGGGCAACTTACTAAACAAAAGCTCTCGGTAACTTATGAGGTCTCTGTGGACTCGGGACACTGTAAATGTCACTCACCTGCCAGAATGCATTTGGCTGCCAGCTTCACCATGGTAACCAACCACATCCACGGGCCAGACCGGGGAAGAGTGGAGACTAGAGGCGTTGGGGCCTGTGGCCGCGGTGGGGACGGGAAAGCTGGGCCCCGGACCCTCTGGGCTGCACCGGGAGGGGCGGC